GTAGCGGTTGCGCACTTGTCCCACCAGGCGGTTGTTGTCCACTTGGCTCTAGAGGTCACAGGTCACACGTCGCCTGGTAGTGCTGGACAGGGATATTGTAGCACTCCGGGTGTGTCCAACGAATCACCACCTGGCAGGTTGAGACACCTGGTGGGTCCACCAAATCGGTTGATTCACCCATTGGATTTGTCAAAACACCATCCTGCCAGAAGCTCGATTGGATCTGTTCCGCTTGACGAATTCACATCGAGAGTATCCTGGGGGGGGGGCGTTTGAGGCGAGCGAGAACGGGAAGATCCACTTGACCGATACGTGAACACAGTTGAGAGGAACCAGATGGAACCAGCTACCTTGAGAGGAACCATCCCCACAGTGTACACTGACTGTTCAAATATCTTCCATATCTTCCATTTGAGTTCCCTCGACAAACCAGTCGCCGCAGCTGGGTTGGATGCATGATCTCTATGCTTTGTCAAGCTGAGCGGGTGATTCAATGAGAACAACAGTAGCAAGCACTCCGCTTCAGCCAACACATGGACGGCCCAGTGCTTGGAGGAACTGGCTAAAATAGAACACGAACAAAAATCCCTCCCACCATTTCAATGGCTACGACGGCTACGAAGCACTACACCTCCCACGGCTCCATCACCGCCTCGTGTGGCTTCGTGGGCGTGTCAACTCGTACCTCGGGTGCGAGTTGAGGTCCTGGGAAAAGGCAGCCAGTCTTTTGCCCTGACCAAATGGAGAAAAGGCACAAAAAGGTCCAAGCAAAATTGGCTGATAGTTGGCTGCATGATCTCTACGTCACTTACGTTGGGAACTGGGCTTCGCGAAAACATCTGACAGCCATGCCGTAAAGTCAAGATCACCTGGGTCCACATCACTTCAACAAGCCACTTTCAAAAGACCGGTGCTGGACAGGTGCAAATGATTGCAAATGCGTATACTTGTATTGCCCTAGGCCTTTGCTTGATACATAGCAAAGGCCACACATACAACCCCCACGTCGTCTAAAACCAACGTCTCTTTTGGGAGTGGTGCCTTCTTCGGACCGGACGAGGGGGTTTGCCGATGCACGCCCTGGCTGAGGGCTCCACTGGAGCGTCTGGCCTTCGAGAGGGGAAACGAGGTGTGTCCCCCGACGAACTGGCTTCCTGGATCAACTCAACTGCGAAGGGAACCGATGGATCATCATGGAATCACCATGAATCACCTCTGACTGGTGTATAGAGCATGTTCCTAAAACCGAACTAACATCCTTCGTTAAGGTGCGCTGCTCCGCTGCTCTCGCCCCGGGCAAAACACCGAGCTTCGGCCCTCACACTGGCCGGCGCCTTTCGGGTGGCCGGCTGCGGGTGGCGATGCCCAAGGTGGTCTCACTCCACCTCGGAACGCTCCGTTTTTTCTGCTCATGCGATGGGCACCATTCATATCTATTTTTTTTCAATGGGCGCCACATGTTTGACCGAAGGTCTGGTTTGATCTCCGTCTTTTGGGGGGTCCTCTGAGTATGGGCTAACTGGTGGGCTAGTATCTCTTCGAAGAGCACCTGATCTGTGGAGATGATCTCCAGCCCTCCTCAGCTGCCGACGAAGATGGTCCGCGCTGGTTGTGGGCTCGGTGCTTCACATAGTACCTCCGTTGGCAACCGAGGGTTCCAGTTCAACCAGCTGAGCCGTTTAGCCTGGCGAAGCATCTGTGCGCATATTTGCCGCAACTCTATGAGCCACTGAGGACACATATCTTGATGAAAAAATGCAACGTCTTGCGACGATGCTTGCCCGTGGAAGTTTGACACCTCTATTATTGGATTCGATTGGTATGGCCGGAGGCGGAAACCAAAGGTGCTACCACCGTGCTTGCACGAAGACCTTTTTTGTGCCTCCTTCTTAAACTAGACTGAAACATCAGCCAGGACATTGATGACAACCAACAACTAGTAACAAGAAGCTAGTAGGTTGGAGGCCATCGCTACTAGGGTGGGGGCCACCTCTATTATATAGTGGCAAGAAGCTAGTAGTAACAATTACGTTGCTGAAATCTATCCATGTCTCGATTCGACTGCAACACTGGGGCCGCCCCTCAGGCGCATCGAAACGGTTCCACCAAGAACACTCCCCTTTTTATCCCCTTTGTTGGGCGCGTCGAAACTCGTCAACCAGAAAACCCTTGAAGATCTCCAAGCCGGCATCACATCAGCATCCCAGAGGTTGCAAAAGTACATTTGCGTTGACCAGCTTCAGCAGTTGTTTCCGAAAAGGATGCAATTAGACATTCCTGGACACACACACATATCATATATATATATATGTGCACACGAAAACAGAAACCGTGCATCTGTACATGCATATACAGACAGACCTATGCGTAGATCCATGTAAAAGGAGAATGATGTTTTATTCGGAATCGGCCCCAACATCTTCAAAAGGCCGGCTTGGATGTCCACGGGGTCCTATGATTCACGCCTGGCTGGCATTAATTGTCCTTTGTCGCTTTGGCTGCCTGCAGGCCTTCAAACACATCTACTGGAACCAATGATATGTATAATATATAATACATATCTCTGAGATTCCGAAAAGGGAAACACACACATGCTCCCATAAACCATTAGACTTTCTCCTTTAGATGTCCAATTCATAAGAACTATATCCTTATAGTATAACTATCAGCTTCGCATCAGCCCTGCAATTTGACACCAGGCCAGATGCACCATGTCAGGCGCAGCTTGTTAGAGAGTGCCATTTGTCATGGCCAGCTGAGAACACCGCAGACACCGCATGCCTGATGGATTGAAATATGCAGCCATGTCACACTCGTCATGACCCCTTAGCCACAGAACTGTGCTCTTGCCAAGTCAGCCACTGAGGCGCAAAAGGAGATGGGGTACGTCAGCTGCACTCCTGGCGGCGGCGGCGGCTGATGAGGGCGGTTTGAAAAAGAACACTGCTTAACAGTTCCGTCACAGCGAATGCCAAGTGAGGAGAGGTCAATCCGTTGACACATCAGGCTAGTGGATCGCTTCCAACGCTGGCTGAATGCGCAGTAGTCCACGCCAACAAATTGCGGGTGGTACTGTTGGACAAACTCCTTCATTGTTGGCATATCCCAAAGCATGGAAGACTTAGGGTTTTCAACCACGTACGGAACTGAAAGATGTTCACAAGCAAGTAGTACCCGCAACAAAAAAGCCAGTAACAAATTGCTTTGAGTGACTTTGTGACGCTCTTTTTGCTGTCAAGGTCAAGGTTTGTAAACCCCATAAACACTGTAGGGAACGAAGAGGTTTAGACACTTGACCAACAGATTTGCAACCCAGAGAATATGTTGCGCTCGGCATACGCACCCAGATGAAAGAAACACGCCCCTGTTGCGTCCAAGCCAAAATCTTCTTTTCGACTGAAATACTCAGTACATTGTGAGAAGGAGAAAGGCAGGCGTCAATAGGATACATAGACATGCAACGCTGCAAAAAGGCTTGAGTGACGCGAGAGCCAAAAATCTCAAGTGCAAAGAAGTGCGGCTTCTGTTTCACTTCAAAAACATTTGTCAACTCTAAGGCTCTGAGAGCCGTCGAGGTGGCACCACACCCATGAACACCTTTCGCATGTTTTTCTCGGCCCACATGCGGTATCTCATGCTGCTGCGGTCCAACTTGTTGAGCAACTGCTGGACGCGACCCGTCTTGGCGTAGCGCCGAACACTCTGGTCGGTGAGCCATCGACCGCGCTGCTTCACACCGTGGAAGTCTCTGTGTTTGGCGCAAAGATCTTCGGTGGCACCCCCCATGTCGCAGCTGATACGGATGGAGCCCATCTAGCCCCAGCTGCTTGCCAGCTGAAACAAAGTGAGTCCGGAAATTGGAAAAATCTGGCTGTCCTGACTTTTTAGCTTTTTCTTGACACCCAGCAGCTGTGTTACCTCTGATCACCACGTTGACCCAAGCGAATTGGCTTCCCGCCTTGACCGGGGGTATCACATGTCTTCCTAAAAGGTCGTGAGCTTCCCCAGGACGAAGGTAAAGGAAAAAAGTGACCATCACCATCAACCCCATGAGCTGTTGGCCGTCTGCCACCATTTGCATGGCTATGCCATACATGGCCAGGCGCGGAAGAGCCAAACGACTTGTGGCTGGGCGGGCCTTTCTCCAACCTCTCAGGGCCCTTCTTGCCCTTGGAAGCTGGTTTTTGAACTGCAGGAAATAAAATTCCAGAGCTGCCACGGTCTTCTCTCCCACATGAGCTGCCTTCCCATCCTCGAGGAGGTCCATGAAGTCCGCCAGAGCTGGGCTGCCGGCGGCGGCCAATGCTATGCCGTTCGCCGTGCAAAAGCCCTTGAACTTGTCGAGGTACAGGCCATATTGAGCTCTGCACTCCACTGAAACGCTTCTCGCCTCCAGCTTGGTAAGCTCCTGCTTTCTTGCCAAAGTTCCCACCTCGCCGCTGTGAGGCACTGACACTGCTTGCACTGATCTCCTTGCTCTTTTGACTGTTGGCATCACCGGCCCGCCATGGGCCATCACTCGCTTGGCTGCTTTCTCTTTCGCAGGCTCTGGCGGGCACGAACCCTTCAAGGTCCGGACCTCCAGTCTCTGAAACGCCGACTCCGGCGCCCTCATCGCCACCACCCTTGACGACGTTGGGGGGGGTTGCACTTTCAGCAGGCTCTTTCTTGAAAGGACCCGGACTGACTTGCCCCCTGCTGGGCCCGTCGGCAACATTCCACTCACTAGGAATCCATCTTGGAAACACACCAAGGCTTGCAGCCAAACAAATTGAGCCAACTTGTTGCATAATGCGAAGCATGTCATAAGTGTGCGCCCGCCCCTTGTGAACTGCGAAGCACAGTGCCAAATTGTCCAACAAAAACGCATGGTTGCGTGATCTATGCTTGGACGATCGCGCCAGTCTCCGCAACGCCAAAACCAAAGCCCTTCCCTCCTTGATGGTAATGTGTTCACTTGTGTGCCTCCACATGCCCAATTTTACCGTTTTCCAATCTTTTCAACAGTGACTGGCAACTCCCGTGAAATCGTGGTTGTCCACATACATACCTGACTGCTCCACACCCCGGCCACAACCACCCACTGAACGAGTGTCCGACAACACATCCAGTCCTAAGGCTCGCTGGCGCGGCCCCCACTGTTCTGGAGGAAGACGCCGAAAACGCCATCTCTCGTTCCATTCGCCCAAGCTGCTGACAGTGTCGGCGCTGGCCTCACGTTCGCAGACGCCAAAGCCGTCTGGCGACGCATCCGTCGCTGTCAGTATGCTACTCCAGGGCCTTCTGATATCAGAAAACAGTAGGGGTACAATGCCAATGAAGTTCAAAACCTCTTGCTTTTCAACTCTATTCAAACGACGAGGGGGAGGATCTCGCTCAACAAAATCATAAAGGGCCCGGAACACAGACATACCATGTCGACAATGGATGCATAGTGTCATAGCATGTCCTGTCCTAAAAGCCGCTGCACCTATGTAGGAGAAACTTTAGCTTCAAGCAAACACTCAAAACCAAAAATAATTTTCCACATTCTGGAAGGTGTAGCCCTGACGTGCCCTAGATCTCCATTGATGATACCCCCCAAAGTCTGCACCACCGTGGCTGCCTCGGTCTCTTCGTGAAGAGAGAAGCCCATGGAACTCAACCTGTTGCAGATCTCATCGCAGCCGCTCTGGCAGGTGACTGGGTCGGTCGCCATTGTGTGAACATTGTCGCAATACGGCATTGATGGCATTGATATACAACTGCCCTCTTTCAACACCGGCGCAGGTTGCCCATCCAAAATCAAGGAGTCCCGCTCAATCCCCAATGACCTTAAAGATGCCTGCTCGTGCATGGCCTGAATAAGGAAAAGGACCAATGAAAACCCATAGGCAGAACCTTGATGCACGGTAAGATGCGACAATGCTCAAACTCCTCGCCAATCGCCCCTCCAGAAACCCAGACCGCCTCTTCCCACGTCAAGTCGCTTGCCAGGCAGAAGAAGTCCTTCATTCCTGGCGGGCAGTTCACGGCATAGAAACAGTCCCTGATGTCAGCCCCTGCCGTGTAGAGCTTCTGATGAGGTTTCAGCTTCAACTGCCCCACTGCTGGCAAACTGCCAAGATTCGTAAGTGGTGGGGCTCTGAAAAGCAAATTTGTCTGTCTGCAATCAAGGACCAGACGCTGAGGAGGTTTCGACACTCCGTCAACGATCTTGGGCTTCTTTGCAACACAAAGAGCACCAACCCTGCCTCTAACCATGCTTGAAAAATCCAACACATTTGCCGAGAACAAGCGTTTGAGGAAAGACAGGTAACCATCTCTATGGGAAAGGAGCTTATCATTGTAAGGCGGCACACTTCCAGCTTCAGATTCCAAATCAGTCCACCTAGATGCATCTTGCAGCATATGACTCTCAAAATCTTCTACCATAGCACGGACATTTTCATCCAAATTGTCGACGAGGGACACGCCACCCACCTCACCACTCGGCAAAGAGAGCTGCTCCATCACCATGTCCACAACTGTTCCCACGCAAGGCTCGGTTTCCATGTAGGATGAGCTGGCGGCCCGAAGCGCATTCAAGGCTCCCTGGCGGCTTGCATCGGCAGGAGGGCAACCCAGCTGCTTTACTTTGTCAAGGACATTCCTTAATGCCTCTTGTTGCGCCGCAGGGAGGTCTCCGATATTGTCTACCTCAGAGACCTTGCGACGACCATGCCTCCCAAACCGCATTGAATTCAAAGCGTTGACAGCCATTGGCTCGTCTGGTGACGGCATCACGCCCCAACATCCTTCGTGCAGTAGCTCGAGACAATGGCTTCTGTATGGCAACACCTTCCTTAAGAAAGGGCAGAGGAAAAATATCTCGTTGCCTCCCACCTCCCCCTTGAGGGGTGTGAAAGACCAAGTTCTCACATCTGCCAGCCAACTTCACCATCCCAAGGAGCTGCACCGCCCAGCGCTTCGTCAAATCAATCAAAAAACAAAGCGCTTGAGGAATGCCACGAAGCCAGTCCCCAAGCACAGGCGCAGCCACACGAAAAAAACCCGAGGTGGGGGCTGCGACCACCGGCAGCAGGTTCACTGACCGGACGAGGCCGCCGGCTGCTTTGGCACAGCTTTAGGCGGCTTGCCTTTTGCTTTTCCTTTGGCCTCTTCCAGCTTTCGTCTTTCTTTCATGATCTGCGAATCAGCCTGCAACTTTTTGGCCACATGTTCTGTCAGAGCTGGAACCACACTTGCACCATGCTTGAACTTGTTTCCCATCCAGTATTCGCTACCTTCGTAGGATGGTGAAGCAGGGTTGTATGCATGAGCCTCAGCGATCAATTGTTTTCTGCGCACTAAGATCTCGAAACATGCCAGGTTGCACACTGCCAAGCAGTCATATGAAATGGCAGTGTCGAGGATGCGGGACAAGGTTTCATCTTCAAAGCTTGCCCTGGAACGATCCGGGATTCGAGATTGCTGGAGCCAAGCGAGATGCTGCGCATAACTGCTTTCGGCCACTGACTGGACAGCTTGTAAGTAAGCCAAGCATGTGCGTGGCTCGTAAGGAAAATCCGCCATCTCAACTTGAGCCATTTCACCAACAGATTCTCGAAAGGACCGGAACCTCTCTCCGTTTGCCGTGTATTTCACGGCCATGGTTCGCACATCTTCTCCTGCATAACGACAATCTCCTTCAATTGCCTCACTGAGCCTCGCAAGCTGAATACTTTCTTCGCAAAAAGACCCCAGGCTGCCGGCGTCAATTTGCTTAATCAAAAATGGTCTCTGATTGCCGTCTGAGTCGGTCACATTCATGAGCCCGTAGTCACCCAGCACAGGCAGTCCAGCCGGTGGGGTCACTGCCTCACCAATCCTATGAGTGCCACACATCTCTGCCATAACCCAGATTCGAGGATGTTGGTCTTGTGCCGCCGCAGCCGGGGCTACGTCTGCTAGTCCCATCCTCTGACACTCAGCTGCAGCAGAAGCTCGACTGCGCTCCATCAAACGCGCGTAGTTGTTTGCTGACATAGGGGCGAACCCATAGATCGTGCCCTGCGGGACACCCACCGGCAACCCGTTGTTTGGCCCAGGTAAATGGAAGGCTGCCAGGTCGACATTTGATGCGTCACAAACCTCCACATAGACGTCAAAGTCAGGAGTGGCTATAGCGTACATGAAAGCTCCGGGATCTACTACCCCACAATGAGACGAGCATGCACACATGGAGGTGCTTCTCCATAGTCATGGTAGACAACAGTGCCCTCTTGCAGAGCCATCTAAGCAATCACTACCCTTTGATTTGCAATGCACTCGGAGGGCTGTATATTCCCTTGGATTTGCCCTTGACCGAGAATGCGACTTCACGACTTGAGCTGTCAGTCCGACTGGTCACCGTCACCTTTAATGCTAAGGCAGCGTTGAACAGCAATCCCGGCAATCCTACAATGAGAGCCACTATGATACCACAATGTGTCCAACTTGCCCCTGTCTCCGCAGCCGATTGGTGAAAGCAATTGCAGTTGCAGGCACAAGGAGCGGTCTCAACTGGATCAGGGTAGTATCCCTTCAAAGTCCACCCAAACCAAGCACCAACTACTCCAGTCAGCACTGCGGTGCTATCCATGAACAGAAAACAACGAAATGAACCCACCGTGAAAATCTTGAGAGTCAAACGGCCGGTTGAAATGAGTGCCGCTTTCTACAAGTAGAGGTCATATAACTTTTGTGATGTCAAAACCGAATTAGTTTTATGGGAGGGAATAAAAACTTGTTTCACAAAATTATTCCTACATCATCAATAGGTTGATAGGTGGGAACAATGCTTTTTTGTTATCAAAGAATTTGGTTGGAATTAAAAGAATTGAGCCGCCACCACCACCACACAACTCTTGGAACCCTAGGGGCGCCGGGCAAATATATATGTATATATATATATATGTAAGCTTCCTTTTCTAGAGTTCGGTTATTGCTGCACTTGAAGATCCTTGCTTAACTCTTCTGAAGTTCGCTTGATTCATGGAACTCTGCAGGCGGAGTCAATAGAAATCATTGTTTATACGGGCTGGGGTTGTATTATATAATAGGTATACTTGGAGCCCAAGGAAACTATCAAGATTACTTTTCTATTGTTCTGCTATTGCTGCACCTGCCAACTGAGAGCTGCACATGCTGCCTGTCTTACTGCTGCTGCTGCTGCTGCTCCTCCTACTACTCCTACCACTACTACTACTACTACTACTACTACTCCTGCTACTACTACTACTACCACCACGACCACCACCACCACCACTATACCACTGCGACTACCACTACCACTACCACTATACGACTGCTACTACTGCTACTCCTACAGCTGCCACTACGACTACTACGACGACGACTACTACTGAATCCCACATGCTTTTGGTGGGCTTTACAAAATTCATCAAAATTCCCTCTCCCTTGAATGTTTGCCGGGCGGGGCCGTTTTACAAATCACATCCACGTGGAAAGCGTATTGCAGTAGCCTTGACTTGTCCAAAAACAGGTTCCAAGCCACTGAGTATCACAGAGCATCATAGTGGATTTCGGCCGTGCCAAGAGCATCCGAAAGCGTTTTGACGGAGTCTGCCTTGGGCAGTGCCGACACATGGCTCTGCATGTGGTTGAAGTTGATGTATATAGCAGTTGTCCCTCCACCCGACAACACTTGAGTCGAATCTGAAAGTCAGTCAGCAAGCTGTCCACAAAAAGTGTCAGCAGCTAACCTTTTTTCCTTGCAAACAACTGCATTGAACCAAACTGACTGCTTCACCTCTACCAAGCCAAAAAAAACAAAAAGGCGCGTTCTCGCACAAATTGCAATGATTCCATGGTATGTTTAAGACAATTTCAGGGTGTTCTTCGGATATAGGAATCATTAGGAATCAACAGGTATTTGCAAGTTGATTCTTCTGCAAATGTCTAATGCTCGCAATTGCTCATGTGATCTCATGGCTGGGTGTTTTCGGTTCTGTGCGTGGGGGCAAGGAAAAAGTTCATCGCGAAGTCTACAAGTCTCACACAACTATGCAGGGCTCACCCCAGAACAGCCTCTCTACCCTCTTGCTATGAGGCTCAAATCCCAAACAGCTTCTTTGGGACAACCAGTTCACCGGAAATGGTTCACCGGTCAGGGGATGTACGTGGTCAACCGAGCACCAGTCAAACACAATGCACCCAGAATGTACGCGCGAGGCGCCCCGAAGTGATCCGAAGGAAAGCTGAACACTATATAACCACCATGAAACAGCCCGCCCCTCCTGAGCTTTGAAAGCCTCAGATGATAACCTAATTAACTTGCGTCAAATGAAGGAATACCATAGTTTTGACTCCCTCATGAGCTTTTCACATGAGGGTGGCTCCAATTCTGACTTCCGTGCATCCCAGGACCCGCAGTTCAAGGAAACGCTGCCTGCCGCCCTGGAGACACACTCAGCGAGGTGCGCTGAGCGTTCACCTAAAACCTTGACGTGGAACCAAGCAGCAGACATGCGGTCCAAACGATAGTGCTTGTATAGGGAATAAACATCAATATAAATCAGTAAGTCAATTAAGCCTCTTGGGTTTCTGTCTCGACAACTTGCGGATCACTCCATGTTCTTGGTAGGCAAACGAGTTAAATCATTTGAAGCTCCAAGGTCTAAGCACGGAGATCCTAATTTTTCGGGCTCGACATTGGTAAAACCGCAAGGGGATGGTCATCGAGCTCCCTCCCTTGGCATCGCCGCTGAGGGCAATGAGGCACGTCTCTGCACGTGCCGCACGTCCGGACGTCTCGCCAAAGGGACATCAAGGGACACCACCGTGGAGTACCCTAGGGCGGCCTTTGAAATCAAACACTGGGAATGATGAACAATAACTAAAGGAAATAGGATTTACTAGAATGCTCTCTCTCCCTCTCTCTCGTGTACTCTACAAGGATCCTGTCCCATTTCCGTTCCGAATCATCCTCGAACGACAATTCCCGCCATTTGCCTACCTGGCACTGCCGATGGGCATCGGCACACGCCCGAAAACCTTGGAGATGATGCTCACTTCATTACCGTATACTCATGGCACAACACTGCCGGGGGTAGTCGGGTAGTCCAAACATGCTAAGGTGATCCGGATTAGATAGGAAAAAGGCTTAAGAAGTCGCAAGCACGCCAATCTTTCGAGCCACCTGATCTCATTTAGACTCGGCGACGCGTCCCCGCTGCTTGCGCTGCTACTGCCCAAAGCGGTCGGCCAGCTCTTTCAAATCAGGTAAGAGCAAGGCCAAGACCCATTTGTACAACAAGACCACCGCATGGTTCTCGGCCTCGGCTATTTTGGTGGCTTTTTGAGCGAGTGAAGGTCTGAAGAACCTTCGAGTCGTGGGGAATGAATCAACAAAAAGCGTCCTGTGAGAGGTGGCGTGCGGCACGATGTGCCATGTGTATTGACCGTCGTTCTTCAGTGGTCAAATCAGATTCACTCAGGCTTCGGGATGCAAATCATGACATGTTACAGTAAAGATCCAAGTCCAAGCCGGTGGCTTCCGCGCGAATTGGAATCCATCATTGTAAATCATACCTAACGTAACATTGCGCAAGTAACGGTTGTTGAAACCAAGTAACCTGCGTGAGACCAACCAGCCCGAGTCGTTCAAGACAAACATCCACCAGCCCTGGGCGGTCTACCTTTGTCCCCTTGTCACTTAACATGACTCCAAGCGTCGTTCTCACCGAACCTGGGTTCCAGGTCGTGGCGACCAAAGCGGGGCCGGGTGCTGGACGCAAGGGATCAGGACTGGGGATAAGGTGCATCAAAACATATCAAAACCAAGTGTCCTTTGGCTGGTCTATCAAAACCAAGTGCCCAACAAACCGGAGAGATCGAGTTTCTGCGCATGAGTCCCTTGGACCAAGCCAAGTCCACACAAAGTGGTCAACAAATTACCTAGCAAAGCGAGGTCTGGGCTGGAAGAAGAAGAGGTTGGGCCCTTGATATCCACCTGATTTCCCTTTATATATATGGAAATATCTATGTGCCCCTAGGAGCCAACCAACCATGTTATTATAGAATGTGACATCATGTGACATCGATCTTTGCCCACTGCGGAAGGGCTGCGTCTGGAAACCCGCTTCGTATAAACCCGCCCCAGCCCTGCTAGTTGGTTCCCAGTGGCAATGACTCACAGGAGCTGTAGACTCGCTCGAATGACAAAGGCTTGGCAGGTTCTTCTAACCTGGATGGCATCAGGTTGGATAGGACTACACTCCCGTGAATCATGGACTTCACCACCTGTTTCGCAGTCGGAAAATGGCAATCCCTTCGGGGGCATGCCACTTCCAAGATCTTCCAGTATGATTCTTGATTCCAGGGGAATGTTTCATGTTCAGGAGCTCTGTGGAGTCGGGGTCACGTTTTTGGCAGGAATGTGGGGTCAACTGATCCCATGGTCGACCAGGATGCACCAGGAACACCGGTCGATTGTGGGATGTGATTCAAGTGCTTCTTGGGATCTGATGGGGCTGTGCCGTTTGCCAGGTCTTGAGATCATTCAAACCACACACACACACAGACTTCTGCTGATTCTTGTTTTGAAGCGCCTTGCAGCTGTGTGCATAAAGCCTAATCAGTCTCAGGGTTGCACGCAGAACGCAGGCGCAAAGGTAGAAATGTAAAATTTAGTCAGATGTCATTGAGTCTAAATCCATGAACCTTTCAACCTTTAAATTGGCACAATCCTGTCAAGGAAAGCATGACAAATCCAACTCTCCCACTAACTAGTTTTTGATGTTGAACTTTGTTTGCGCTATCTTTTGCTGGTCAAAGCGGGCCGCAATTTTCATGCTCAAAGACGGGGTTTTGGGCTTAAGCGGGTCATGTTTACGCAATTTTGGTGCTCAAAGACGCAGGTTTGGGCCTTAAGCGGACCATGTTTACAAAGACTCGACATTGTGCTTAAGCGGGCCATCCTTACGCAATTTCGATGCTCAAAGACGCGGCTTTGCGCTTAAACGGGGCATGTTTACGCAATTTCG